GGGGGCATTGCCGGGGGTTGTGATTCGGTGGGGGTGGGTTCAGGGAGAGGGCGGCGGGCGGGTAGGGATGGAAGTGGTGGGCTGGAGGGACTCTCGGCGATGGGAGTGGGGAGGTTGTTGTTGGTGTTGCTGTTGTCTTGCTGCTGGTCGTCGTCGTGGTGCTTCTGCCACTCTCCGCGGAGGAGTCTGCGTTCTTGCTCGAGGGAAGAGAGATCGTAGCTGGGCTTGGGGGGCACAGGGACCGGACGCGGGCTCCGCGCGGTCTCCGGAGACTTTGCGCGGGTGGCATCATCCCGTTCGCGCTCGTACTGCCGCTCGCGCTCCTTGGCTCGCTCCAGTTCGTGTTCCAGCTGGCGGATGCGATGGCGCTCCTGGGATTCCGACGTCGCGGCGGGTTTGCCGGCCCCGGCGACCATGCTGGCTTGGTACTGGCTGAGAAACTGGCCGTTGAGGCGGCTGTCCTGCGCTTCGCGGCGCTGGAGTCGCTCCTTCTCCAGTCGTGCCTCCGTCTCGCGCTCCTCCTGCTGGCGCTTGTCCTCCTCCTCTTGCCACTGGCGCTGTTGCTGGTCCCAGCGTTGGCGCTCCGCCTCCACCTGCAGGCGCTCCTGTTCGCGCGTCCGCGCCGTCTCTTCCTCCCAGCGACGTTCTTCCTCGAGACGGGCCTGCTCTTCATCGACTTCCTGCTGCTGTTGCCGGCGCCGCTGGTCCTCCAGCTCCTGCCGCCGTTTTCTCTCCTCCTCGTCCCGCCGGCGCTTCTCCTTCTCCGCTAGACTGGGGACGTGGGGCGCGGCGGTGGTGATCTGGCGCCGCGCGCCGAACGCAACACCCTGGTTGCCCTGGCTGGCTCCGCCCATGTAGCCGTATTGGTGGATGTTCCAGGCCGGAGCCGTGCTGTGCTCGTCCGACTTCTTGCTCCAGGTGCTGACAGGCTGCGGAGATCGTGCTGGGCTGGAATGACCCGAATTGCTACCGCCCAGTCCGAGCGACTTAGTGGGGGTATAGGCACCTCCCTGGCTGGACCCCGTCACATGTGGACTGAGCGAGCTGCCCTTGGACTGGGGGCCAATGGCGTGAGGGAATTTGCTAGGCTGGAGAGCGTTGGCCCGTCGACTGAACGAGGTCAGGCATTGAAGCACCTGGGCGGGGTCCTTGGCCTCGTAGAGATCGACAGTCAGGAATACGTCATGCGGGGGCAGGCTGAGAGGTGGCATTTGGCAGGCGCGCAGGAAGTGAGAGATGTTTTCCATCTGCACGAACGGCATGGATGACTGTTTGTATTTGACACCCGGCGAAACGGCGAGGTTTACGAGTCTGTGAGCAGGCTGGCGTTCAGTTTGCGATTCCCATACGGAAGGGAGTTGTCTCTATCGGACGAGAATTCCAGGTCTTACCTGCAAAGAGCCACTCCATCTTTCAGAGCTTCTAGAAGATCTCCTGCTGGGAGTTTGTCATGGAGCACTTCTTCGATCCAGCTGCGGATTTCCGCGGCTGCTTGCGGGGTATAGCGGGACAAGCGCAGATTGCGCAAGTCCTTATCCAGGGATGTGACGGAGGCCATGTTTTGGTTATCACACTCAGCTGTGTTTGCTCACAGATGTTTGAAGCATGTAGAAAGATTCTAGAAGAACCGAAGATGGCGAGTTCGGCGCTGAAATAGGGGTGGAAAGGGGGGGCAGTGTAGGGCTTCTGTTTATATAGTGCCTAACTGCGAGTGGGACGAACCGCGGTACGTCACAGGGGGAGTGGTGGCTTAGGAGAAGACTCGCGGATCGAACGGATGCGAGATTGGAATGGAATGCGAAGGGACCAGTGCAGAATGATTGAGCTAGAGGATTATGTTATGCCAGTCAGCAGAGGAAGAAGAGAGAGAGACACTCTCAGAGCTGATCGATGAGGACGAGGACAGGAAAGTCAAAGTCGAGAAGAGAGTCAGTCAGAAAACGAGGGCAACAGGCGGAATGCGGGAATCTTGGCCTCGTAATACGCCGCCAATACGATCGTTCTCGTACCGCTCGTACCGGCCGGTATGCGCCGATGACGTTCCGGCCGCAATAATAATTAATTATTGCTTGCCATCCCAAATCACTCCCTTCTGAGTGGATGAAATACCGCATCTCATCTTACACACGCCCCCGTTGCTGCCTGACATCTCTGCTCCCAGAAATTTTCTGATTTGCGTCGGGCAAATGAGTCCCATTAACAGTCTCTGGTTCAAGTGGAAGAGCCTGAAATTGCCGTGGCGCACTTCCTTTCTCGTGGGTATGTCCGCTCCATTAAATCGCATCAACACAAAAAGACCCAGTCTAATTCTGACACTCGCATCGCAGGCCATGATCTGAAGGGAAACACCTATTGGGAATTTAAAGATGCCCTGAATGCGAATCGGTATCGTCGCATCGTCAAATGTGACCCTAAAACCCACCTCTCCGATGTCCAAGTCAGCCGTAAGTGCTCCTAAACGTTGGGTCAAGCCTGCAGTGCCACTGTCAACTACTCGCCGGAGTCGAGTCCTAACAAACTGACCTGTTCTTTCGTCTAGCACAATGGCACCAATGGCTTCGATACGTACGAGCGGACCCTCCGTCGATCGCAGAACAGCAACAGGATATCATCCGACAGATCCAACTTAAGGAGTTGGCTCGTCTCGCTGACGAACGATGGGCGAGCAAGGCATCTTATCTCGATAAGCCGAAGACTCAGCAACCCGTCCCTGCTACTCAGACCAGCGACGCTACATTGAACCCTCCGAGGGAAGAGGCGCAGGCAACGAAGGCTACCCCTACTGGTCCTCGGAACGAGAAGGAGAAACCAGCTGCAAAACAGGACCCTTGGGCAAAGGCCGCCAGTGGACCTGGTGAGAAGTGGCAGCCGGATTCTTGGAATCCGACCTCTTCCCAGAGATGAGCTGGTTTATTGCTTTGATAAAGTTCGACCTCAATCGCCAAAACGTCGATTGCTACCCCAAGTTGCGTACATGATGCGAATCAGGCTACTAGACTAGCCGTTTATCCTCCAAAGCTGCTGAAATCCTGGATGACCGTCTAGATGTTTGCAGGATTTACCCTCTCCACTCACTCTACATTTTACTTCGGGGGTCATGAAAATTGATCAGCGTTCCTCAGCAGATCGGGGAGTTGGCGCGCCATGCCGTTGTGTAAGAAGAGGCGCATTAGGCATCAGTCTTGCATAGAGGGGTTTCTGATGCAGGAACATGCGAACACACTGGTGGGAGCTTTGACGGCATTGTATATTACCTACTTGGAGAGTGTACTATAATTATTGTACCAAGCGGAACGAGTCTGTTGCATTCTGCCAGGTATTGCAATGGATTCGATTATCATAATATCTTATCTCGAGTAGTGGAATTGGTAGAAGTGGTAAATCCTTTTGAAAGTACTGGGTCGTCTCAAAATATACAGTTGGCGTCCACAGGCACGGCAAGATCCACCTAGTATTACCCTGCTGGAAATTCTTTGTTTAGCACACAACGAGGTCTTTGGTACCCAGATCGTCATCTAGAACCAGAAAATAAATTGAATTGCCATACCAATAGACAGATCGTGGTTACGGTGATGCAGAGTGGACTGCATAGGTACAGTACAGTCTGCACACTCGCTGACTGCGTTCGGACTTGAGATTTGCCGTGCTGACTCAGGATGACGACAATCCGGCAGACTGGCGAGTGCAATCCCTGTACGCTAAGCCATTCCGGGAACATCCGAAGCCGGGCCGACGAGCAGGCCGGAAGGAGAGGCAACAAAGCCCAAGTCAGGTGCCCGGTGATGACGGAAATCTGACAGTCGAGGTTCGCCTTGTTTCTAATCCCTTTCCTCTGCCCAAGCACTATCATCGGTGCCATTTCTCATCTTTTCCAGACTCTTCTCGACTTGAAATTACGTCGAGCTGCATATGCCTGTTTAAAAAGATATTGTCTGCGAGAACTGCCGACGGGTTTTGCTCATCACCCCTCGCTTCCTCGCCCTTTGCCCCCGCTTCGCCATCACCAACCACTCCCCAACGAAAAGTGGGCATAAGATTCTAGCGCCTGCGCGTCGTTCATCGGTCTCTGCCCCTCACTGAGAATCGATCTGCCGCTCCCTGGGCTCCTCACCTACCGTCAAGATCTTCATTGCTCACCCTCGATACTGAGGAGTACGTTCAGGCACCACGCGTCGCAGTGTTTGATCCTTCGTCACATACTGCGTCTTTGACCTAGTCGCCTCAGAAACCAGTGGTCTACAGTCTTACAGTCTATATGTATCACTCGAAATCATCCATCAAAAACGATCGCATTTTGAAGGAAGGAGGTCTGAAATACTGTCATCTGACTGCATACAATTGGAACGACTGCGCGTGCATGTGTCACAACCTTTACCAATATTGAATTTTGAAGCGAACTCATTAAAAACCAACATGTCTATCAACGTTATCTTTGTTCAGGGCCTTGCCGGCTCTCACTAGGTGAAAATCTTCACCCAGTTTTTGTGCTTCACGATGGACTCCTTCAAAACCATTGGGGGCCTTGGAAGCCACGGTTTGAACGTGAAAAAAACTTTCTTTGTTTACATCCTATAAAGCAACATCTCTGTTCCCAGTCGCCAGTCGCCAAGACAGGTACGGGTGGGATTTAAACCTTGTACGTTTACATCTCATTGTCACAGGACAAACCAGTCCTTTGAGCTACCGGCGCGAAAATTTGGGGAAGCCGGCCAGCATCTGGACACTCATCGCATCGCCATGAGCAGCCAAAACATGAACAGGAAGTCGTGGGAGTCCCTGTCATCGACATTCTCCCAGCTGGAAATTTCCATCTCCCATGACAGCTGCTATGCCTCTGATGAATACTCCGCCCCTGCAAAACCTACCACTGCCGTCCACACTCCTGACGCTCCATCTTTGGTCACCGCGGTAGCGGCGCCTCTTCAGTCGATCTTGAAGCCGATCCTGAAAAGACCATATTCTGAAATTGAAGAAGACGACGAAGAGGCAGAGTCTGGATACGCATCTGAGGAATCCGAATACGGCTATGACAGTTTTGACGAGTCGGATGATGACATGTGTGAAATCTCAGACTGGGATGAAGCTTCTGACATCATGTCTCAATCGGATGGAGAAGAAGACGATGTCGCGTCACTAGACGGCTCGTTCATCGAATTCGGAGCTCATGTTCAGTTTGATGCGAAAATATGTTATATCGAAGCGCCAGAGCTAGAGGACGATGATGAATGTCCTGAGGCCGGATTGACTTGTCACGAGTTGATGGAGATGGCACGAGCGTCTGGTACCCTGCGGCTACAAGAGGGTACAGGTCCTGGAGACCACCCTGATGACTGTGAGGACGACGATAGTCTGATCCTGGAAACCTTGAAGCAGCTCCCGGAAGAGCACCCCGATGATGTTGTTGACCTAGACAAGAGTCTCTTCGTCGCCTACATGAATGGCATCAATGGGCTTACCGACCCACAGTACAAATCTCGTCTTCGAAGCCGCGTTGACGATATCAAGTCTGGTCGTGCACACACGCCATACCTAGATGAGGATGGCACTACTGGTGCGTACATCGATAACGCGCTCAACCACGTTATCGGAGTGTTTCGCAACATCGTCGCCGAGGAGGAATTCAACGAACTTGTTGACCTCAGCCACGTCAAGGGCAGCTCCTCAGGGCCAAGTGGGAGCATCAACCAGAAGCTCTTGACCAAGCTTGAGAATATCCTCTCAGAGAGACTGGCCTCAGATGTCGTCAATATCGGGCCTGACGAGTTGAGCTTCTTCACCAGTGGGCTTGCCTACGCTCTCGACCACTGGAACAGTTACATGACGCGATGAATATGATACGCTGTCCATGAAGAACCACGAAGGGAAACAAAAAACAATAAAAGCCCAAAAAAGATGGCCAAGAGCCCAAAAATGCCCAAAGGGCTCAAAATTGTTGCTATTTCATTTGCTGTGGCCTAAGAATCAAAAGCACTTCGCAAAAGCTTACGAGCGGGGATTATCAGCATTACTGATGATTATGAATCCCCAATTTTCTAATTCCATTTCTCAACGAGAGTGACTTTGTAGACGAGTGGCGATGTACAGTGCAGTACACCACTCATCCAGTAATCAGCAAACACGACTCCTGATCCCGGCAAGATCGCAACGATAATCCGAGGAGAATATACCCCCCGAGAGGGTCGATCTTAGTTGCCACGCATTAAGGCCAAGCCGCCTCCCTGCCGTACTTCAGAGATTTTTCGAAACGCATATTCTGTGGTGCTGGCTATAACACATAGGCATTATACTCACTCAGTAATAACTGCTGGGTATTATGTAGTGCCCTACCGTACACGTCCACCGCCCTCCCCTGCAATATCCCACCATACTGAAACATCTGAAGTATGAGGGTGCCGATGTGATAAATGCCGGGCTAGACCCGGTCGATCACTGAGTGAGTCTTTCGCCAATCGGAAGCATTCGATCCGTGTACTCATGCTGAGTACAAAACACCTATGGAAGATAGTGAACTCAGAGATCTAGACTCTCGATGGTAGGATCCCAGGTGTACCCCGTAACTTAGGTGACTGAGAGAGGAAGAGGGAGGCTCTGGATGCAGGCTGCCCAGTAGATTTAGAAAGATTCGGGGAGTCCGTGCTACATCAGCTCCGGTTGATACAAAGGGCAAATGAGAAGGATGGATGGGTCAATGTCGGGGTTTGGGGACGGTGGGCTTTTTTATGATGTGTACCGCTTGAGGTAACTAACTATTTGCGCTGATGTCAGATCTGGTTGAGCAAATCTAGTGCCGGGGGTGAAGGGAGGGTTGTTGGGTTGTGACTACCGGTATATGAGAAGTAGGTATACCTATGCATATGCTCTATCGGGAATTGAGGGAGGCACTGCAGGGCACCGCTGCATGACGTTTGCAGCGGGAACTTGACACATCCAGTCACATCATATCATACGATCTGAAACTCCTGGCGCTGAGACTTGATCCCTGCCCACGCTAGTTACTAGCATGGGTATCAAGGCCTTCCGGATTCTTGCACTATATGCACTATGAGTACGGAGTACAGTACCTGTACATGCAAACTGCATAGTGGATGGATCACAGCCTCCCTCCGACGCTATTGCACGTATCGCTTAGATCCTACCCCAAAAATCATGGTGCTGGATTATGTCGTGGTTGGCTGGTTGATCGATCATGCATACAGTGTACAGTAAATGAATTGTTGGCTGCCTACTGCTTATTGACAGGGAAAGGCTTATCCGTTGCGGGATTGGGGGTGAGACCATCCATGTTATGTTGGTTAACTAGGTTTCGAGGTTGACGTCGTGTTTCGTTCGTTGGGGTCCATTTATCCATGTCTTGGGGCCGGGCTGGGGGCGCCTTGGTTGGTGGCATCTAGACTTGAACGGCCTTGTATCCGCCCCAGCTCCGGGCTTAGTCCGGTGGTTTATTGCCCTGCCTGCCTGCCCTGTGCTTAGGGTTGGGGCTGCATGTACTGTACTGATGTGTAGGGTTGTCGAGGTCAATGCACGCAGGGAAGGATTTATAGTTGGGATGGAGATAAGGTGGTCTTGGCGGGGTGTTCGCTGGGGTGTGCGTGACGGCCCATATTTATGGGGTTATGAGATTTCATGATAGAGCGCTTAAAAGCACCAATTGCAGGCGCGAGGAATTCTGCGTTGAACCGTCCTGTCGAAAGTTGGGATCTCAAAATTCAGTCGTGTTTTTGTACAATATGTAGCGGGGCAGCCTCATCCCCGGTCGTGGTTGACGGGCCGAAGAAACAATAAGCCTCTCGGATGATGTAATTCGAGATCGTGAGATTACGATCCATGGGTTGCAGTGCAGAAGCTCCGTTAGTATTGTACTGGCTTGTTCCGGTGTTGCTTGTTGCATTTGAGGTCTCCCTACCGGGCTGATTAATCCATCCTACCACCCACGGAGACTGAATATAGCAACACCTAATCTAGGCAAAATCGATAGTATTATTCACGAAACCCAGCCTGGAAAGCCCCCCTCTCAGCTCGTATCATATATTGCGCCCGCCTCCACCGGCAATGGGCCTGGGTTCAAGTTGCACCTCAGCTGAAGAGTGGATTGTTGATACGTTCCCACAATCGTATATTAAATCGGAGTCTGGAACCCAATCATAGACACCCGTCAGCGAGGTGTACCCGATTAACTATGTCTCCTACCCGCTAGCTTGCCCAAAAGAGGCCTACTAATACCGCAGTCCGCACTTTCGATTGAATCGGAACCATTGGTGTGGGAGCACGACATGGTCATGGTGAGCCAGCCTGAACCGCTGGGGAGAAAAACGGAAATGAATCCCTCCCTGATTGGATCCCTGCTGCCAGTTCACCGGTCCCACCGATGCAGAGGAGCAGGGATTCAGGCGATAGTTCGGTGCTTGATTCGTCTCTCCTCGAACCTACTCACAATCCAAGATCGTGGGAGTGATCAGTGACTCGTGAAAAGACCGACAAAAGTGGGAACGGGAAGATGAAATAGAATTTGAAAATTCTCTGGCCCTAGTCTCGAAGGCCGCGTGCGAACGGCAAGAGGTGGGAGGCTGCGAAAGTCAAAGCAGGGGATGCCTGACTCGCAAACCGTAGGAGCACTGTAGCAGATCAAATGTTATTGACTCTAGAGAAGGAAAGTGCTGTCAGGAGCCCATTAGAGGCATCGCAAGCTGATAGACATGGACAATTTGTCAAGGCGTCCTTTTTAACCTTTAATTCTCCCCGCGGGCCACAGCAAAGTCCAGTAGTATATGGGGTATGGAGAAACCAGCATACCAGAGAGGCATGTCCCACGATCATCATCAGTGCACCCACCAGTGATCTCCCTTGTCAGCTTGGAGATCACTGTCCGACTGCGCGGCCTCCTATTCTACTTCGGGTACAGCCAAGGGCCAAGGGAGTGTTCCCGAGTCGAGTGTATTATTCCTGTTTGTCCATGGTTGTGTACCTACCTATGCAGAACATCCCCGGACAACAATTATCCATTTCTTTGGAATGTTGAAACAGCTCCTGTGATGATAGTGGCTTGATTGGTCATGCAAGCCACCGGACAGTGGCCAATGCCATGATTCACAGTAGCAATCAGATTTTGAGTTCCATGGTGCCTGGGCTTGAGACCGATTTCGGGAACCGAAACTTGGAGCGGGATCACGGACGGATTTGGTCCTTGGGGTTAGGTTGAATTTCTAAGAGTATCTCCTCGGTTATATCCGGTAAAAGTACTGGAGTAGTACTACTTGTCACCTGGTCTGAGTGCTTCGGAGGAGGATTCAAATTGCACTTCTTCATGGTCAATCTAACATAATTGAATGCTGTTTCAGAGCGGTTCAGACAATAAAGCATGAGACGGCTCGCTACGAGAGGCGAGAGCAACGAGACAGTGTGAGAGGCTTACATTCCAGTCGGCTTGCAGTAGCGCCCCCTTAACTCCCCCTCGTGCCCCTGCAGTCGGGACGGTATTTCATCCTTAGTGAAAGTGACTAATCCTTTAGGGTTCTTTTCCCTGCCTGCCTGGTGGGGCCTTTTTCACTAGTTCGGCTCTGGCGATCGTCGGTTTTCTTGGGGCTTCGGTGCCTTTTCTTATTTGCTTCTAGTCGCAACCGACTGGCCACTTCTCCTGGATGCTGGTGGCTGATGGTAGGGGTCCGGATGCTGGCCTCTCTTTCTCTCATGCTCAAAGCCTCATGACCATGACCAACCGGACGTTCCAACCATGATTCCGGATGATGCTCGGAAAAACAGACGGCTGATGTTTATCGAAATCGAGGGAGGAACCGTGGAATGATAGGGTGCTGGCCGCTTGTCGGGCGAACTAGTCGCAGTGCTTCGTCCATGGATGGTCGCTCTCCCCGAAACCGATATCTGAGGCCAAGCTGTTCCTGACCCGAGAAGGTCTCACGTCGGTGGCGACCCCGAGGCCAATGTCGATCTTGCCAAAGCCCTCGTGCTTGATGCATTCCGACTCGTGGGGGTCCATCAGACTGATGGTCTGGTTGGAAACTTTAACAAGTCATAAGTCATGAAGAGCTTGCTTTTTCCAGTTACCCCTGCGATGCACAAAGCGGAGAAGCATGGACGGTGTAGAAGATAAGTCAAGTCAGTCAGTCCTTGGTAAGTTACTCGGTACTATGTAGAAAAAGGAAAAAGGGAAATCACTGGCCTATTCTTGCCTTCCGGTTCCAGTTCCAGTTCCTGTGCAGCCAAAGCGTTAAGTCCCCACACCACCCGACAACGATGTTGATTTGCTTCTCTTGACCCTCCGGGTGGAATTGAAGCGGATGATGGGTTCCACCTCTCCTGATTTTGCTAGTCACTTTTTCAGTCCCGCTGCTGCTGTGTCTGTCTGTAAATTGTAAGAATCTCTCGGATCCTAATTTACAGAGACGGTGTAGACGGGGGCTGTCGTCCATTCACATTCGTTGACTGTTGCTGTTGCTATTGCTGCTGCTGTTGCTGCTGCCACTTCTATGTACATACAGTACTGTACATACATACAAACTACTATGTTACTCCTGAACTTTCACCACCTCCCATAAGGTCCTTCATTCATACTCTTTCTCTTCTCTCCCTACTCATCGAACCCCCTCTCTCTTCCTCTCCCACACACACACACACACACTCTCTCTCTCTCTCTCTCGCTCGCTCTCGCCTCCCCCCTCTCTTCTTTCTTTCGCTTTCCCTTTCTACACCTCAGCTCTTCACACTTCTACTCCCTCACGCTTCTCTCCGACCATCCGCTGAATCACCCTCTCCTTAAAACCACAACACCAGCCCTATATCAAAGCATAGTCCAGATCTTCATTGATCGGTTGGATTCCGGTCTCTCGATCTCGATCCCTCCATAACTCAAGTACTGCGACATGAACACTACGTTCTGTTAGTTGGTTCGTTACACGGGTACGTTCTAGCCTCGACCCCATTTTGCGAATGCGTGCGCCTCCCCGCTGGTGCTGCCAGTTTTTGCTTTTTCTTTCTTCTTCTACCCGATCTTCCGTTGTTCTTCATGCTTTAATAATTGCTTTTGCCGCATGCCCTGTGGCTTGACGCAATCTTACGACATCTACCGTTAAGGCAGTACCCAAAAAAGAACAAATCAAGTCGCAAGGCCCCCAATATGGGCTGTGCAACTCATTTCGTATTGTTCAAAGGCTGACCAACTGTCTCTGTCGCGTTTCAGGATATTAAAGTCCCCTTCATTCGCTCCTGAGCTTGCTGGACACCTCGAATAATAATTCACCCCGCTCCCGTCTTCTTTGTTCGATCTGCGATCTTCAGGCCGACCTCTTTGCGACTGTATGTGATCCTCGCATTACGACCATGCAGCACAGCAAAGGACCCGATTCTCCGGAGATGGGGAGGACGGTCTCGCGCTCGCGCAGCACCAGTATTTCCAGCGACTCCCAACTCCCCCGAGCCCACCTGCTCGCCCCCACAGTAGTTACACCAGCGCCTACTTTTATCGCCTCTTCCGCTGCAGCCCAGATTATCACCACAGACCAGGAATTTAATGCGGCCGACTTTGTTCCCGATGAAGATGGACCGGGCTCTCCTGCCAGTGCTTTTGTGACTCGCGAGGCTCTGTCAGCCCTCAACGGTTTCCTTGACTACCTTCTATTTGATATCCTAGCTGCAGCAAAATCAACACAGTTGGCCTGCATCCGACCAGCGGTGGCGGACGTCCTAAAGCCCCGTCTCGCCAAGGAAGTGGTAGAGGCAGCGGATGATGAGCTGAGTGAGGTCTTGGGTGGCCCGGAAGACGAGCAACTCGAGTTCCGTGGCGGTCAGACCCCTGGCGGTGAATTCGACCTGATTCGTTCGTGGAAGCTCACTCGCCTGCGATGTATGGTTTACACGCGACTGGGGGACATGGAAGAGGACGAGGAGGAAGAGCATATCGCACGGGAAGGCCTAGCCGATGAAGACGGCGTCCCGCGAAGACTGGCTAGTCACGTAGGGAATATCACACCCGCCGCCGCCATTTTCTTGACTTCGATTATCGAGCATTTGGGCGAACAAGCATTGATCATCGCGGGTGAGACAGCTCGGTCACGATTGTCGACCAAGCTCGAGCAAGATTCTGAAGAATCTATGGAGACTGGTATCAATCGCGCAAGTATGGATCGACTGGTTGTGGAGGACCATGACATGGAGAAGTTGGCCTTGAATCCGACTTTGGGCCGACTCTGGCGAACATGGCGCAAACGCGTCCGGGGGTCCAACCTGTCGCGGGCAGTTTCACGAGAATCAATGCGCCGCCGCCATAGCGTGTTCACCACTACCGGCAGTAGGAAGAGCAGCGTTTTCACCGCAGATGAATTCTCCGTCCGTTCGGCAACCTCACCAGTCCCCGAAACACCAAAAGATGTCGACCCAACCTTGGTACCCTTGCCGCTTAATGACCACGATATCCAGGAAATCGAGGTCCCTGGTTATCTGCCAGAGCTTGAGACCGGCGAGATCCAGACCATGCAGGCTGTAGTAGCCCACAAAGTTCGTCCCCATAGTCTTATGGTACTCACCCTGCCTTCCCCGAGATCACCATCATCGAACGGCAACTCGCCCCTTACCCCTAAGCTACAGACCGTGACAATCACCCGTCATGCTCGATCAAGATCGTTGCCCAACGCTGGACCCGGGGAGGAGACACCGGAACCTGAGCAGTTTCCAGAGCGACCGTCACCGACTGCGTCCGAGGAGCGGCGGCGCTTGGAGACAATGTACGAACATGATGAAGATGACGAGCGGAATGCCGACCAGGAACACAAGGAGGAAACTATTGAACTCGTGAATCAAGTAGACCAAGAGACAAACGCAGTGCCGGAGACGACCACTGTTCTAGCCACCTCTGCTGTCGCCCACGAGGTGATCACTCCGGTGTCCCCAACGTCACCGATCGAGACAGAACTCGAGGGTCAAGGGGCACGTGCAAGACCAAGATTGGCCTCAGCGCAGCGACCACGGCCAAAAACGATGCGAGAATCATCGATTTACGAAGAGCGGTCACCACCTGCTACTCCTGTTTTGGTGGAGGAACAATTTGGGTCAACGGTCGAAGAAGACGCACCGCAGACGCAAGGGGCTGACTCCGCCTCGGTAGCGCCCGCTGTCGATCTCGACGAGTTATCATCCGAGGAGTCTGTAGCCCCTCCTACAACTCGATCTTCGACTGATGACGGCTATTCGTACAAGGCCTCCAGGCCCCTTTCTACCTCTGGTGATAGCGCCTCCTCTGACGTCTCGCGGAGACTACCCAAATCTAGCCCCCTCTCCCACGGTACCGATCATCGCTACGGGCGGTCCAGCCCTGGAATCTCGTCTGTGAAATCCGGCATTGAGCGTGCCGCCGTTCAAAGACTGTCAGGGCGACCAACCACCTCGGTGGCATCTTCAAGCTCTTCCAAACCGCGCCGCTCGGACAGTTTCGGCAGCAGCCGCGAGAGGCGTCCTGTGACGTCCGGCACATCATCCGCTTCAAGCAAGCTGAAAGGCCTGATTGTTCGTACAGGGGATTCCAACTCTTTGCGCCTGCGAAACTCGTCTGAGATAAGCAGGGTGTCAACTCAGGAGTCAGCTTTCGATGACACCACCGGCTTAGATGAGCTTATCCGTAGCGAAGAAACTCTACATTTCACACTGACTCCTAGGAACATGAGAGAAATGGAGGTACGTCTGGAGCCCCTCAACCCCGAAGTCGTCAAGGAATGCCACTAATTGTCAAACCAGCTGCCTGATTCACCCAGATGGCGAGCCCAGCAGACCACCTCGTCCGAACCGGATATCGCGCGACCAAGAACATCTCACGCATCTTCCAAGAGCATCATGGACCTTGCTCCAATGTCCAAGTGCAAATCATCGGACCAACCAAAATACACCCCGATCGTGGTTCCTTCTGTGCTCCCACCGCAGCCCACCACCGAGCCAAGTATCGTATCGCCGACATCCATCAATTCTACTGGATCAGGTACTCCTACGATCACTGGATTTGACAAAAGCGGTTCTGGCAAGCCATCAAGCGTGCGCCGCGTTTCTGATGCGACAGATGTCTCACGCAGGGTCTCCAGACCAGCGAGTGCTTCAGCTCGTAACAGCAGTGCACGTTTGCAAGCACGCCCTGCTGTGGCCCCCAAAGGAGATCAGACCTCCGATTTGATTGATTTTATTCGCGAGGGACCGCCTACTCCCGGAGCTCACCGGATCTCACGTGCGGTGGCGCCATTCCGCGATACTATGGACTCAGACGAATTGCAGGCTCTAGAGTCGGGGCGTCCGAGTATGCAAGGATCGCTGACGGCAAATACACTAACTTCCGTTGGCTCCCACACCGGTCTTCTGGAGACAGGTCTTCGGTCAAGCACTCCCACCACATATAGCAAGGAGATATCAGAAGATATTCGACCGAAACGAACGCAGCGTCGCGTTCGAGACCCCTATGCAATTGACTCGGATGATGACGACCTTGAAGACCTTCTCGAACCCGCGAAACCAAAGCGCGATGAGGAGAGTCTGATGGATTTCCTGCGAAACGTACCACCCCCTGCGTCTGCAGCTCCCCCGCAACCTTTGACCACGAATATGGGTACTCGGCGTGGCTCGTCTGCTGGCTTTGCTGGTGCTTCATCTGTGAAGACCCTGCTCTCTCGGACCACGGCTACCGAAAAGAACGTCCTCGCACAACCTTCAAGGAGCTCCCTCCGCCAGACGCCTGACAGTTATATGACTGGGGCAAACAACAACTATACGACTAAATCTGGTGGATCCATGAATGCTGCCTACGGCTTACCGTCTGTTTCTCAGAGGCAAACCGAGACTAGTGCGCTAGCCGACTTTCTGAAGAATACTGGCCCTCCTGAGCCTCCAGTGACCAGACCTACGCAAACCGCTCCCCCAACTAAGCCGAAGGAATCAGGCTTCTCGCGCCTTTTCGCACGTCGAAAGAAGATCGAGGTCTGATTCATGCCACCGTGACTTTCTCTTTCTTTGATCACAGCTGTTGTTTTCTCTGCGGCCCTGAACACGACATGCTATCACTGGCAAATGACCTGTCTTTCCGAGCGTTGTGACTTTTGATGATGATACCTCTACCTTCAATCTTTACCATTCCCTGTCCATAATGACACTATTTCTTACATTGGAACTGTTACTCGTTCTATCTTTTCACATTTCCATACCCTCGTTGGCCATGTTCTATTCGAACAATACCACCCCTCGTTTGCAGCGATTCTCTTTTCTTTCTTGGTTGATTCCCCCAAAGTCTCATCTTTTCTTTTTCTTTTCTGTCAGTGACCCCAACAACCACTAATTTCAATTCAAAAATCATGCGATCTGGGATCTACGTCCTATGGTGTCACTTCTGGTTCCTCGAAGCATCTTTACATCCTACTTTGTATGGAGGATTGGGCTCCTGTGCCGATATTGTACATAGCAACACAATCTAGCTGTCTGACGCAAAATGATAGTGTCTACGACCAAAGATTAGGGCTTTTGTGTACAGTCACTGCTTGTAGCCATGAGTCATGAGCCATGTCGCATATAGTGTAAGTATGATGTTGCAGCCAATAGCTGATGGTAGGCGTTGTTGTTCCAACCTGAAACGGGAAGGGGGGGCGATAACCGGATCAATGTTATGCCGGCCTTGCCCGATCCCCTGGAGCGCGGCGTGGCATCAATAATACTGGCCGCTTCCGAGCTTCGTTGTCAATTTCCTAGACCTTACTGTCGGCTGCTGCGACAATCGCCGTTAACAATGGCGGCAACTCACTTTACGATGAGGTCTCTCCTCGGCCTTCTATTCCTTCTCTTTGTTCAACTCTCTACCGCCCTCAAGTTTGACCTGTCTGCCGTCAGTGGAAAGAATGAACGCTGTATCCGCAACTTCGTCTTCAAGGACCAGCTGGTCGTAGTCACTGCCATTGTCAGCGGCAACAAGGGTGACGGACAAGTGGTCAACATGCACGTACGTGGCAATAATTCCAGAGCTATATTTTCGACGTCGGTCGAGCAAAGCGTCGAACCCGTCGTGATTCTCGAGTGATCTACGAAGGATTGGGGTCGGGACAATCAATCAGCTAACTATATATGCTGGGCATAGATCAAGGATGCCCTGGGCAATGAGCACGGTCGTCCCAAGGACATTGCTGGAGAGACTCGCCAGGCCTTCACTGCCCCTGCCGACACTGCCTTCGATGTTTGCTTCGACAACCAGCTGACCACTCGCCGTACGTCTCACCTTGCTCTCCCTTCAAGACTTCCGAAAGAACGTACCCAGTGGAATCCATAGCTAACCATCATCTGGGTGTGATCGCACAGACGCTATTCCCAACCCTTACAAGTCGATCGAGCTCGACGTCGAGATCGGTGCCGACGCCCGCGACTGGTCCAGCATCCAGGTTCAGGAGAAGCTCAAGCCCGTCGAGACCGACCTCCGTCGCATCGAGGAGATGGTCGCGGAGATCGTTAGCGAGATGGAATACCTGCGCGCCCGTGAGCAGAAGCTGCGCGACACCAACGAGAGCACGAACGAGCGTGTCAAGTGGTTCGCTTTCGGCACTATGGGCATGTTGGTTGGGTTGGGCGCTTGGCAGGTGGTCTATCTGCGGGCCTACTTCCGGTATGTTCCTTTCTCGTTTCTCTTGCCTGATTACGTATCTGGTGATCTAGATTTGGGTCAAGGTTTGGCTAATCCTTCCAATTCTCTTTGCATACAGATCCAAGCACCTTATCTAGATTTCTTTCTTTGTAGCTTGGGATGTATTTTGTGTGGATGGAGGAGGTTACAGGTTGATGCTTCTCTACTTGTCATGACCAATATATGGACTTTCTTCCAATTGCATTTATATTCAACTTTTTGATTGTTTGTAGTCTATGCCGGCCGTGGTGGGCGAGTCGCACTTGGTGATCATCAAAGTAGACATGACACTTAGCACCCAAACCCACTAGATTCAGCGAATAGGATATCATTTTTCTCCGACAACTCCAACAGTTTCCCAATTCAAAGAGAGTCCTCGACTGAAGTCATGATAGCATCATTGGGCAGAGGCGAAAGCTGCCACTTTTCGAAATCGGCAGGTCGCGGTTGGTTGCGTCGTGCCGTGCAAACACAACAAACAGGTGTATCTGCGGATGATGTCAACCCGGTCTTTATTCGCCGGATCACTAGCTCTATTACCGACGGCCTTCCCCAGAGTCCGATCGAAAAATCGTTATCCTCACGACTTTTCCTTTGCCCCTAGTAACTTATTCGGGGTACTGACACACAGACACGATGTCCGCAACCAGACTTGTCCATCGCTTTGTGCGGCCATCCGCCTCTTCCCTCTCGTTCACCACGACGGCCACTTTTGCCCGTCGCTCTTTCGGCAACTCGGCTGTTCGCCTCAACGGCGATGGAGCTGTGAAGGATCGCGCTCCCTCGACCGCGCCCCAGCACCGAGAGAACGAGATCAACAAGCCCCACAATCCCAATGTCCCCAACACGACCTCCACGATGACCAAGGACTTCCCCAAGGTGGGCGCCAAGTCTGCGCCGCCGGACCTCGTGGGCGCCGTCGACCCGAACTACAAGCCGGCGGACCCGTACCCCGGCAAGGTTGAGCATTTCACCGGCGGGCGCGAGGAGACTGGGGCGCAGAAGCCGGAGCTGGGAGTCGGAGAGATGGAGGGTATCACCTTCCGGGTTGAGCCTCTCCGCCGCTCGGGAGAGGATGTAACGACCATGCGCGCGCGGTTGTTGTGTATGTCTTCCCTTTCCTCGCTATTGGCATCACTATCTATATTACCCCTCGTGCGAGATGATTCTGCTCTTCATGCCGCTTGTCGAATTCACAGGAACGTACGGGAGAGAAACGTTCACTAATCGTCTTTGGATGAAACAGATCAGAGCAGAAAGCGCGGCATCCTCGAGTCCGACCTACTGCTGTCGACCTTCGCCGACGTCTACCTGGGCAAGATGGACCAGGCACAGCTGCAGGAATACGACCGCTTCCTCGACGAGAACGACTGGGACATCTACTACTGGGCTACGCAGGATCCCCCGGCCGATGGCGGCGAGCAGTCCCCTTCCTCCACGGCCCAGGGGGCCCAGGATACCGTCACCGAGACTTGGAAGCAGACTGGGGCCAAGAGCGGCGAGTGGGCGCAGACCGTGGGCGCCTACAAGGCTGCATACCGGCCCGTGCCGTCGCGATGGAAGGAGTCGAAGGTGCTGGAGCTGCTGCGGGCGCATGTGCGCGACAACAGCGCCACGGGCTTTCATGCGGCGAAGAGTAAGAAGACGGGGGGTGCTGGGTTGGGTCGCATGCCTAATGTGCAGGTGTTTAACTAGAGCGGAGGGGAGAGAAGCGAAAAGGTAAAAGGGGTCTCGATGGTCGTTGATGTCGCGCGTGTACAATATAAAGGAAGGGGCTGTAAGACTGAAATTTCGAGCATGTATTCTACATTTACGACGCGTTTTCTGCAAGTTCATAGTGGAGAGTTGAACACTGCATGTAGACAGTAGACTGGACTGGACTGAACCGAGGAATGTTGGAGACCGGGGTAGATCGATCGTCGGGCGGAGCATACATAAAAGAGTTATGTCAAGTCCGAGTCAGCAGTGTAGCCCACGTGACTCGCTTGTCCTGGCTTAGGGTTGGGCGAGGCGCACAACAACCAGTCGGGCGGGCACGCTAGTTAGGGCTCAGGCGGGCACGCTGTCTCCTCCATCCTCGAAACAGTTGCTGTGCATTTTTACTTCCCAGCCCAGAGTCAAGGACAATTGCTCCGCCCGCGTTCATCCCTCTCTCCTCATCGTCACCCAGACTCCAACATGGCTGAGCAACTGGTCCTCCGCGGCACCCTCGAGGGTCACAATGGCTGGGTTACCTCCCTGGCTACCTCCCTGGAGAAGTAAGGGCACACCAAACACACATACCGAAAAAATACCACACAACCCCAATCGAAGTGCGATTTTCGTTTGCGAATCTGCGAGGAATGGTGCAGGGCGATGGAACAATTCTATATATGCTGCGCCCCCAAAAAGCCAAGATAAGAAGAACGGATGTTTGGAGTGGTATATATAGGTTGTTTGATTGTCTGCAGCAGGAATCATGAAATGATGGCAACAAAATCGCACTAGGTTGAGAGAAAAAAAAAATGATAGTTGATATGGACAACATGAGTTCTGACATTTTCTTGTTCTTGTGACTTCTAGCCCCAACATGCTGCTCTCCGCCAGTCGCGACAAGACCCTGATCATCTGGAACCTTACTCGCGATGAGCAGGCCTACGGTTACCCCAAGCGCAGCCTTGAGGGCCACTCTCACATCGTCTCTGACTGTGTATGCTACCGATCTCCGTTCCATCCTCCAGCCATCCGTGTCCAACCCGAAGGCCAAGCGATGCCACTTCGGGCTGTTTGGGATTAAGGAAAGGGCCAAGAAAGAAGGAAAGAAGGAATGATGGGCTGACCGTGTGCGGGCTTCGTTTGTATAGGTGATCTCCTCCGACGGTGCCTACGCTCTGTCTTCCTCCTGGGACAAGACCCTCCGCCTGTGGGAGCTCTCCACTGGTGAGACCACCCGCAAGTTCGTCGGCCACACCAACGACGTCCTCTCCGTCTCCTTCTCTGCCGACAACCGTCAGATTGTCTCCGCTTCCCGTGACCGCTCCATCAAGCTCTGGAACACCCTCGGTGACTGCAAGTTCACCATCACCGACAAGGGTCACTCCGAGTGGGTCTCCTGCGTTCGCTTCAGCCCCAACCCCCAGAACCCCGTCATCGTCTCCGCCGGTTGGGACAAGCTCGTCAAGGTACGTTCTGTTGCTCGGTTCGCGTCCGTTATCTTTCTTCGATTCGTCCAGAGGATGTTTGCATATCTACGTATTTGCTACTTCAGAGCCTTCTGGCCATGAGACAAACAATCACCCAATGCCTGATGGACAATCGACATGTATTTGCTTTTTTGTGCCTGCGAGAATGGTGGAATTCGAAATTCGGATCCAGCCAATGCTTGGTTTTCTAATTCCAGAAACTAACCCGCAAATTGTTAAATAGGTTTGGGAGCTCGCTTCCTGCCGTCTCCAGACCGATCACATCGGTCACACCGGTTACATCAACACCGTTACCATCTCCCCCGATGGATCCCTCTGCGCCTCCGGTGGCAAGGACGGTACCACCATGCTCTGGGATCTCAACGAGTCCAAGCACCTCTACTCCCTCCAGGCCGGTGACGAGATCCACGCCCTCGTCTTCTCCCCCAACCGCTACTGGCTCTGCGCTGCTACCGCCAGCAGCATCACCATCTTCGACCTCGAGAAGAAGAGCAAGGTTGACGAGCTCAAGCCCGAGTTCATCGAGAAGGGCAAGAAGAGCCGCGAGCCCGAGTGCATCAGCTTGGCCTGGAGCGCTGATGGCCAGACTCTGTTCGCTGGTTACACTGACAACAAGATCCGTGCCTGGGGTGTCATGTCGCGGGCATAAATGTGCTCAACCCACCTTTTTAAATCTTAATTAGGATCTTGGCGGGGCGGAAAAGTGTGAGAGGAGAGAGAGAGAGACAATATCAACTTGAACTCATGTTTGTTATTTTTTTTTCTTTTTTTTCCCAAGATCAAAAATAAAAAAGGGCAGGCATTGGTTTGGGATGTATGAGCCATGAGCAAATGATAAAAAAAGCACTCTGGGTTTTTCCTTTCCGCCTGGTGTTTCCAACTCTCAGCCACTCACCCAATTCACCCTACCCTCTATACCCATCCCGTTCATTCGGGCTTCTTTCCCCGGGTTATCGTTTCTCTCTCTTCAGCATGTCTACCTCTTACGCAATTCGTGGCTCTCAAAAAACCCGACGAATTGGTTGGGTATCTTCTGAAGTGATGGGATGTGGATTGTTCGAATACCATTCAAAAGACGTTAAAAAACTTATATCTCTGCCCCCTCCACACACCGCCTGAAGTAATTGGTGTCGTAGTGTTCTAGACTTCATGTATCAGTTCGTACCTCGATGAAGTCATGGTCTAGTCCGCTAGAGCAATACTTCTAGGTCATCGAGTGGACTTCGGCCTACTGTCTAGATCGCTGCACGCCTATTTCGAGCGCCACTACGCACTTGCTAAATCTACACGGACTTCCCAAATAGGAAGCGACAGAAGGAGCATGGAGCTCGGCGCGGTCAGAATAAATTCCCCTCGTTCGCCTCAGGCTTCGTAGTATTATCACCTTCGAGAGATTCTTTACGTTTGTTAGATGCACATGCACCGGGTCACGACCATCAGAGTCGAATAATGTACATTTTGTGGGAGATGTGTATGCAAGGCCACAGTTAACACAGCCTAGCTAGGGTTAGCTGATGACGATGGCCTTCATTGCGCCTTGATCTCTTTCAGCGCCGCCTTGACCCCCTCCACCAAGCCGGGCTCCTCCAGGCGCTGCGCGATGCTCAGGGCGTCTCGGTAATGCTTCCTGGCGACGTCCGGCTTGTTCTCCAGCCGAGCCAGCTCGCCGAGACTCTGCAGCGCGGCCACACAGGCCTCGTTGCATTCCGCCTCCTGGCCCTGGGGGTCGATCTTGCCGGCGACGTCGCGGGCCTTGTCGAGCCACTGGCGGGCCTGCGCGATCACCTGCTCGCGCGGGGCCCGCATCCCGGCGATCGGCTTCGGCGCCGCGGCGATCTCGCCCATGGTGGCGCCGATCGAGGACATGAGGAACGGTTGCTTACACGTCGGGGCGTCGCCCTCCGCGGCCTTCATCACGTCACTGGCCCGGATGAACAGCGGCAGGCAGAGATCGTACTTACCCTGGGTGAAGTACAGGTCGGCCAGATCCTTGAGGGCGACGGCGATCTCCTCGAGGTTCATCCAGCCATCGTCCTCCTCGCTAGCTTCGGCGGTGGTGGTTGGTGCCTTCGTCTGGTTCCCCACGGGGAGGCCCAGGGCCACCCGACGGTTCATCTCGGTCAGGCAGAGCTCCACGGCTTGCCGCTGGTTCTCCTCCGCCTTCTCCAGATCCTGCATGTAGTCGCTCTCGTAGAGCTCGGCCAGCTTCATCGACATGCCGACGCACTTCTTGAGCACCTTGCTCTGCTGGCGGTCCTCCCACGCCTGGAACTCAGCCTCCTTGGCTGGGTCCGGGGTATTTTCGGGTTGCTCGTGGGACGAGGCTCCGACGGCCTCGCCGGTCGCCTGGCGGATGCGCTTCTCCACTGCTTCCTTGCTGGTGTCGTTGGGATCCACGGGCGTGGTCACCGTCGGCTTCTGCGGGAGCGAACGGGACCGCCGCGTGCGATACACCCAGGCCAGCGCCCCGGCCCGCGTCTGCTCCAGCACCTTCACCGCCGCGGAGACCAACCCGGCCTTCTCGAGCATATGCGACACCTGCAGGTGGACCCCCAGGACCTCGTCCGAGTACTGGTGCAGCCCCATCTCGAGCCCGATGTGAATCGCGTCCTTGTACGCCGCCATCGCCTTCTGCGGCTGCAGGTCCACGTCCGTGTAGTAGACCGCCGTGCGCAGCCGCTCCGCCATCGGCGGCGGGAACTTGGTGTACTGCGGCGCGACCTGCGTCACCTCGACGTAGGCGATGTAGGCGAACAGGCAGGTGGCACTGAAGACGGAGAGGAGGGCCAAGGGGAGCACGATCGGGTTCTTGCGCCAGATGTCCTTGCGGGCTTTGCGGAAGCCGAGCTTCCATTTTTGGGCCGTGGTGAGCGTGCGCCGGCTTGCTTGGGTGGTGATGAGGTTTGTGAATTGCGAGGAGAGGGGAATCGTCGTGGCTGGTAGGCGCGGTCGGGAGGCGATGCGTGTCGTTGAGAAGGGATGGCGAGCATTCTGGAGTGTGAGGGTTCGGACTCGGGGGAGGGCGCTGGTGGCGCGCCGGGAGAGCGTGCTGAGCATTGTTGCGGTTTGTCTTCAGTATCTGTGTGGGTGTTGATATCAAGGGAGAATTTTTGATAAGATGCGTCACGATTCGGTAGGATCTCCTCAATTGATGAAATTCGAGGAGAGGAAGCGTGAATGTGAAGAAGAGGGGATAAGTGAGTGTATGGCGGCAAGAATCCCAAGACGACAAGCAGCGGAGCGGAGGTTGTCGGCGGGACGATTTTGTACGACCTAAAGCGGAATGGTCCGAGCTTCTCCGCCGCCGCCCTGCGCTGAATGACATGACGTCGGATTTAACCTCTTTCAAGGTAGACTCTCCATCTACATTCATCGCATGATCTTTGATCTTTGATCTACTTGAGCGCCAGACTAGCAGAGGCATAATGTGTGGACGATACGCACTAGGCGTGGTACGTAACCTCAGCACATCCATTTCCCCCCACTTTCCCCCCATCTATACATTTATATTCCCGAGTAAATCAGAATTCAGTACACAATGAGCTAACCACAGCACAACCCCCACCCAAAAAGCGCATGAACTTCGTCCAGCGCCGTCTCCAAGAACAAGGCATGCCCGTCGACGAAGTCCCAGACGACGACGAAGTCCGCGAAACCTATAACTTCGCGCCGGGGAACAATGGTGCGGTGTACCGCGTGGAGGCAGCGTCCACTGGCGCAGTAGAGCAGCAGCAGCCACCCGAGAACGACGACAACTACAACCCTACTCACCCCCAACAAGACCCTACCGCCGCCACCACCACCACCCAACCGTCAGGTGATGAGAAGGGAACCCGCCCCCGCTACAAAATCCAAAGCATGCGATGGGGCCTGATCCCATTCTGGACGAAGCGCAAACCCGACTACGGGTCGCTGATGCGCACGATCAACTGCCGGGACGACTCGCTGCTCGAGGACCGCGGGATGTGGACGTCGATGAAGCGCAAGAAGCGCTGCGTCGTCGTCTGCCAGGGGTTCTTTGAGTGGTTGAAACGGGGACCGGGCGGGAAGGAGAAGGTCCCGCATTTTGTGCGGCGGAGGGATGGGGATTTGATGTGTTTTGCGGGGTTGTGGGACTGCGTGAGGTATGAAGGTGAGTTTTTTTTCTGCTTTTGTTGCAGGGCCCCGCCCGGGATTTTGGTGGAGGGGGAGATTGTGATCCGTACGTGGGGTTTTACAAGCTGATGGGGAGAGGGCATAGGGTCGGATGAAGAGCTGTATACGTTTACGATCATTACGACATCCTCGAATCCGTACCTCAAGTTTCTGCATGATCGGATGCCTGTGATTCTCGAGCCCAAGAGCGAGGAGATGAACCGGTGGCTGGATCCAGGCCGGACTACGTGGTCCAAGGAACTGCAGGCCATGTTGAAGCCGTACGAGGGCGAGTTGGAGTGTTATCAGGTGCCGAAGGAAGTGGGGAAGGTGGGTAACAACTCCCCGGACTTCATTGTGCCGGTGAGCAGTAAGGAGAATAAGAGCAATATTGCCAATTTCTTCGCCAATGCCAAAAAGGCTGCGCCGGAGAGTGGTGGTGGTTCGTTGATAGAAGAACCGGACGACAGAACCGTCAAAGATGAACCTGACGATCGAGACACGGTGGACACCGAGTGGACTGAGGACAATGCGCCGCTGCCGGCTACAGGGGTCAAACGGGAGCATCCGGCAGAGAGTCCTGCGGAGGTCGAGGATGAAGCTGCGAAGAGGCAGAGGACTCAGCTTACCTCGCCGGTTAAGGGCACCGAGCAGAAAGCAAGTCCAACGCAAGCACCGAGTCGAGGAAAGCAGATGCGAAGTGCTACTCACAATCAGAAACCGGCCAAAAAGCCCCAGCAGAAGAAAGCGGCGGCAGGGACTCAGCCCATAACGAACTTCTTTCAAAAGTGAAGTTGATTTTCTCATCTGGCTTGGCGGCGAAGTATAATTTTGGCGTTGCTTTGGTCGTCTGCAATTAAGAGCTGGTCTCTGAGCGGCGTTGTTCCATTTTTTGGGGGGATATTTTACAGCTTGTGTCAACTGTCCAGCAGTTTTGGATCAGTGCAGTCTTTTGAGACAGCAATGAGGATAGCAAGAGTCTATTGTACATGGTCACTACCGACGGGAATTGATCCCGTCTCCTGCTGGCGCAGCTTTTGCACCAGCTTTTCTCGCAGAAATGGGCTCAGCCCCAGACTGTTATACTCTGGTTAGTTTTGGGTCCAAAATGACGGTGCTTGCATGACTTACATTCCATCCCGAGTCACAACGCGATACGTCCCTGTCGGTTTCGTCAGCTTGGGCCGGTGAAGAGCTTTTCGTATATCGGAGTACATACCGCTCGACTGGTAGTTACCGTTCCCACCCACGAAGTTTCCTTCCCCGTCGACTTCCAGGCTCCCGAAGATATCTTCCGGCCTATATTCACTCTATCAGTCGTTGGTTTACACCACAAGCCGGACACCATCCATACCAAGCGATACGGCCATACTCAGGTGGCCGTCGGTTGTCCGAAAGATGAATCCAACCACCTCTCCCAGCCGAGCCAGCGCCGCCTTGACCACTGGCTCCGCCGCTGGAATCGCCCTCGCTGCGGCGTTTCCTCGTACGTCCCCCAGTCAAAAGCACCCCGCCGGTGCTCAGATTAGCTCCTGACGTAGACACCATGACCTGTGCTTGCGATATAGCGTCGGGATCTTTGTGGCCGTGCTCAGTCATGATGTCTTGCAAAATTTCCAGGAACTTAGGGTTCTCTTTGAATGAGTCTGGCGTCGGAGGTAGTTTGGATGAGACACCGATGGCCAGGTCGGGATTGGTTGGCTCAGAAGGGAGCAAGGACAGTATGTTGGTGCCATTCTTGGGAAACACGTACTATGAAAGAATGTGAGCATAAAAGGGGTACAAGAGAAGCAAAATGGCTTCTACTAGAGTTCGCGACGCTGCGCCAATGGCTTGAAGGATACACTTACTATGTGAGGATTGCCTTCCAAGGTTGACACAGAGCGAATCTGTGCCCACCGGGGCATTTGACGCACTGAGTTCCGAAGAGCGAACATGCTGGGGGAGGAGAAAGAATCAAAGAAGATTAATGATCCTAGTGGTATCTTCGGACATTGAGTCGATACAATTAATGGAGCGCAAGCTTGAACCCCCCGGCCCCGGGCCGATGACGATTGTAGAGCAAACCAGACAAACTCATGTGATTGCGCGTTTTCGGGCGGGCTGGAAGCAGCTCCGCCCGCATTGAATGAATGGCCTTGAAGGCAATTCACTTAACTCACTTCCTTGTCCTTGTCAACTTAGCGGTTCCGTGGGGAGTTTTCCTTCCTCTCTCTCTCTCTTTCTTTGCTTCTCAATTGATGTTCTATGTTCGTCGAGTCCTTTCCTTGCAAATATCATTTGAGTGGTTGTAAAAGCTCGTTGTTTCTTTTCGTTACCGGCTGCATTCCTGCGTAAAGAACGATTTGAGTCCGTATGGCTCTACCTTAGCAAGTGTGGTTCTATTCTCTTATTGTGTTACCTGGGTCCAATTCTCGCACCTCTCAGCTTGCCTTCTCTTCTTGATCGCATAAAGTGCAGACTACGATTTCTGCTACGGCCTTGCCTACACAAAGAGAGCCCGTCATGGCGACGCCATCGTCCAAGCCGAACCCCGGAGCAACACCAACTTACCTGACTTCCTCGCCTCACCCAGCTGGCGCGCATCCAGCCCGCCCCATCGCGCACAAGTCACCCGCGGGGAGAACCCCCTCGGTCTCCGGACCGGGCGGCCACATCCAGCCCCCCAACAGCAGCAACCCCGCCAACGCCTCGGCGCACCACTATGCCACGCCTCTTGCGGCGACGACCGGGGCCGACGACCCTGTCACGCTAAGCTCGCCGTCAGCTCTGCTGGCACTCGGCGGCTACAGCGGGATCAGCCCGTCGCCGGCCGGCCACGACGGCGGCCTGGTGGGCGCGGGGATGAACGACAGCGACATCCAGGCGCTGGGCATGCCGGGCCTGAAACTGGGCGGCGGTGGCGGCGTGCGGGACAACGACGAGGAGCGGAAGAGACACATTGAGGATGTGGTGCAGCTCCTGCGGACGCGCATCGCGGGCCGCGGGGTCTGCCGCGAGGGCATTGAGCGCTTGGGCCAGCTCGAGGGGTTCGAGTCAATCTGGCAGGAGGATAGCCTCAGCATCGCCGGCAACTTTGTGGACCTCGAGATCGAGTTCCATCGCGGCCACAATGTCGTCAAGGAGGTTAGTCTGAGCTACGTGACGCCCGAGTCGACGGACGGGGAGCAGCGCGAGGAGGCGACGGCCGTGCTGAAGCGCGACCTGATCCAGTCCCCCGTGGACGGCGAGCGGGGCGCGTGGAAGCCGCTGACCGGGTTCCATGAGAACCTGCAGTGGCTGGCGCGCCACGATAGACTCAGCCAGGAGGTCAACTGCTTTGAGGCGATCGAGGGCTTGTATGAGAGCCTGAAGCGCGTGTGGGAGGCGGAGTGGGAACAGCGCAAGTTCTTGGGCGTCTACGACCACCTATGCAGCGGCTGGGTCGGTCGGCCGTCTCTGCACAAGGGGGGTCGCGTGGGGCTCGGCCTCGATTACTGGGTGCAGCAAGCGCGGGTCCTAGATGCGAAGCACGCGAAGCAGAAGTCCGCCTCCTCCGACGAGATGGCCGTCGATCAGCCGGCGGAGGAGGACGAGGCCGGGCGAAAGGGCAAGTGGAGCGTTGTGGTTGAGTGCGAGGAGGGATATCCGTCTCTTCGCGTGTCGAAAGACTGGGTTGCCGCGGAGGTTCTGACGAAAGTCCACAATGGCGAGACTGGTCCCTCCTCGAGTGAGTCAGCCGAGTCTTCTGAGGGAGTTGTGGTCAATTGGGCCGAGCCCCCCGAAACCGTGATTGCGACCGCGCAAGGGCACTCGGACGCCATGGCGCTCGACTCGAACATCCTGGGCTCTTCTGCGCCCAACCGCCGGTTTGTGGCTAGGATGGAACCCCCGCTGGATCTACCAATCTTGGCCGCGTCAGATATCTACCGTCATCTCGGCATGCAGTTGCCCCCTGAATTCAAGATGGTCACATACGATGGGCTGTTGGCTCCTGGCTGGTCGCCATTATCGGCGGCTGGTGCGATGGGACTGGGACCGGAAGAAGCATCGCAGCTTGGGCGCAGAAGCCGTAGGCTATCGTTGCAGACCATTGACGAAGATGGCAAGCCATGCAAGAAGCAGCATTGCTACACGTTCCAGCCATTTGAATCTGTCGCAGGTCGGACCCTGAGAGACATTCCGTTCTCGCACCCAAGGCAGCTTGCAGACATACTTCCGGTACGGGTCCTGTGTTCTATTGTGCCTTTTACGTGGGTATACTAATTCTTTAATCTTTAGATCTTACGACAGTACGCGTTTCTGGCGAATCTGATCCGTGGCATCTTCACTACCACGACCAAACCCGACAACGACAAACTCAATGCACAGGAAGATCTGTCCAAAGGGTTCTTCAATCTCTCGAATGCCAATAAATCGCAGACGATAACCGAGGGTGACCTCATTATTCTCAGCAATGACGATCCCAACGAGAAGAGGTTAAACTCATTGCTTGGAGGGTTTGGACAAGCTGGAGGCTTTGGACAAGCAGGTGGCCATACTATAGGCAAGGGGAAAGGTGCTATGGACGGAAGATTTGGCGATGATTCGACCACCGAAGATGACGTCAAAGTAGACGTGACCTTGCGCACGCAGCTCGGTCAAGCCCCGGTCATCATGCTTCTGTTTACTGTGGACAACCTTGGAGGAAAATCAACACTGGACCAAGGATATTCTGCGCTGAGCAAAGTCTCTGTCAGCCTCGAAGTTGGACTCAACGGTCGCGTGTCCGTCATCGACATGACTGGTTTGTTTGACGGTGAGAACACCAGTAAGGATCAGACGGACACTCACGCGAGCGGAGGCCATGACAATGAGATATCCAAGTTGCAAAAGACCATCGCGAGGGTGTTAGAAGTCTCGCAAGACCTGGGGATTCTGGTAGAGTGGGTACTACGATGGGCCCGGCAGCGCAAGGGCCGCTGATAGCTTCACACCCCAGACCGGGGTAGGTCACGGATACGCTGCAACCACGGTGTGTGGGGAAGAATCGTCTTCAGATAGTGACCTGTCGGTTGGCAATCGGACGAGGCGGTGACGTAATCGGGATGGCCATGCGTTACCTGTCCTATCTCTCTTGAACAAGCTTTGCTGGCCATTCTGGAAGCAGAATCTCCCCCGTTTGCTCGAATTTAGTCCCAATGCAGTGTCTGCATGGGGCGAACGGGGACCGTCAGATCCCAATTTGGCGTCTCTGATCTGCACTGGACTGGGACTCGTCTAGTGCTATCTGGGCCTAGCCGGATGTGGAAGCGACGATACTCAGCTCAGACTCCCGAATCTTCCTCCGTGGTTCCATGTGAGATCACAGAGCTGCGTCACGTCATGTGCCATGAGATCGTGCAGCGTGGGGATTGCTCCCTCGGCCCTAGGGGCCTTGGACCAGCCGAGGACCAGGGGGATACGAGAGTCTCGAGCCGAACGATACCATGATCGATATTTGCAAAATGAAACCGTCCGCTCCGGCGGAACACGATTGATTCCTGGGCAATTGTACCTGCAGCACCTCGCTAGCTCTGCCTCTAATATAAGACAGGATCTTACTTCCCATGGTACTGTACTACGTACTTTCTAAGTCAATACATCCTATGTAAGCTGGAATATACCCGTCGAATCCAGGCACGCGCAACAACTGTTAGAAACAATCCAGTAAGAAGCCAGAAAAACCGGCCGTAACCGAACGTTGACTCTCCAATTTCTGGGAAGGATTGAAGAAGACCCTGAGTCGGAGGTTTCGCCCTTGGAAAAGCGGCAAGACCAAATAACGGGGCTGGCTGTAGGCTGTACGGAGGACAGAGTCAGACAATGAACCCAGCAGGCTGATCTGATACCTCGCATTGTACGGAGTCTTTCGTATTTCCACGAAATGTCCGTAGGGTCCTTGACTGAGCCGAACCCATCTGCCAGAAGTCGATCAGCTATACTCTGCAGATCCAGCCAACATATAATGTACGGACTCACGGAGTAGT